TCTCAAATTGTTTCATTTCAGTTTATATCATGATAATTCTGGGAGAATTACTTTATTGATAAAGGATGTAACCAAGAAAGATGCTGGGTGGTATACTGTCTCTGCAGTAAATGAAGCTGGAGTCACCTCATGTAATACAAGATTAGACGTTACAGGTATGCCACACTATCTACCTAGGTATAATAGACTTTCCCAAGAAGATTTAGTAAGAAGCACAAATTCCCTCACTGGATAAAATCTGAAGGACTTTTCATCTACATAATCAGTTTTGATTTTTTTTCCTGTCTAGTAATGAATACCTACTGCAACCCTTTTGTTTACAATGGTTTTTTAAAATTGACTTTTATTTGATATATTTCAGCCCGTCCAAACCAAAATGTACAAGCTCCTAAGCAATTACGTGTTCGACCAACCTTCAGCAAATATTTAGCACTTAATGGGAAAGGTTTGAATGTGAAACAAGCTTTTAATCCTGAGGGAGAATTTCAGCGTCTGGCAGCTCAATCTGGACTCTATGAAAGTGAAGAACTTTAATAATTTTACCAACATTGGAAAACACAGCAACTAAACTACTAGTGATATATTAAATTAATTTTTTGAAATAAATCCATAGCTGTATTAACAGATTATGACTTTACTTAGGTAATATAACTAATATATATTTATACTACTATTTATCCTTTGACTCTTACACACTCTACTTCTCTAGTTTGTGAAGTCTATAGAAAATCTGGATATATGGATTTGTATGCAGAAGACTATCTTAAAATGTGGGATGTTAACATTTAAGACATACACATTTAACAATACAGGTTACATATTAATACCAACTCTTTAAAAACATCTAATGCTTGTTATAAGGTGTGTTGGTACTGCCTTCTAAATAGTTTTACCAAATTCCTCTCATAGAATCACTAACATCATATATATTATCTGAGTTCCACAGTTTTATGTCACAAGAATAAAATTTCAAATATTTAAAACAATGTCTCCTCTTCACAAAACTTTAAAATTTTCTAATAAAACTTCTAGGTTTAAGGTTTAAGGGATAATATTTGTAACACCATACAACTGGTAATGGGCTGTTATCAAAGATCTACAGACACCTCACACAAATCAACAATAACAAAGCAAACAACCCAGTCAAAAACAATGGTCAGAAGAGCTGACAAGACACTTCTCCAAAGAAGAAATACAAATGGCCAATAGGCATATGAAAAAAATGTTCAACATCACTAATTATCAAGGAAATGCAAACCAAAACAACGATGAGATACTGCTTCACACCTATGAGAGTGACCCATTTCAAAAACAGTGGAAATAAATGTTGATGAGGATGTGGATAAAAAGGACTCCTCCTACATTGCTGGTGGGGTACGGCCTGGTCCAGCTATGGAAAGCTGTGTGGAGGGCCCGCAAAACACTAAAAACGGATCAACCTTATGATCCAGTACATTCCACTAGTAGGAATCCACCCAAAGGACACAAAAACACTAGCTGGAAAGGAAACCTGCACTCCGATGTTTATAGCAGCATTATTAACATGAGCCAAGAGATGGAAACAACCCAAATGAAATATACACATACACATACATACTGGAACACTGTTCCGTGAATACAAAAGACAAACTCATGATTTGCAGCAACATGGTTGGAGCTGGAAGGATTTATGCTAAGCGACATAAGTCAAAAGGAAAAAAGAAAAATAGCTAATGGTTTCACTTGCAGGTGAAGCATGGAAAGACTAAACAAAGAGTCAAAAAAAAAGACAAAACTGGCCCTCCCTGGTGGCGCAGCGGGTTAAAGCACAGCACTGAGAATCTAAAGCCGCTTCTGCATGAGTTTGATTCCCGCCTGCCCCGGAGGTGACCACATGGTGTGGCAGACCTCTCCTGACCCGCCCGCTGCTTCCCTCAGCAGTGTACTTCCTCCATCTGCCTGTTCTGCTCCCCACTCTGTCTCTGGTGAAGCCTCTCACCGCCCCTGAGCCTCTGGCCTGTACCCCAGTTCTGTATGCACAAATAAATAAATCTTAAAAAAAAAAAAAAAAAAGACAAAACTTGCAAGTTGACCATAGACTTGAGGCAAACAGAAGGCAGAGGGGTCAAAAGAGTGTGACAGGGAAGAGCACAAAGGACTGCAGTGACAGTTCACCAATGCCATGGGAGAACTAGAGAGACCGTACCTGAATGGAGAAAAACAATGTAAGAAAACAAAGTACAAAAAAAATACAGATTTATGGAATCCTATAGAAAAGTATTTATTATAGAATGCCTCTATATAAAAAATTTTAATAGAAAACCTCTGGATAACAAACCTATGAATAACAAGTTCCAAAACTGCAACAACATTATATTCTAGAACAGTGTGTTCTTGGTGAAACTGACAGGTCAGTCAATTCCTCTAGAAATTCAGACTTTGCATAGTTTGCATTCCCAAGGCATTCATAATGAAACAGACCCAAAATGGAATCAACCACACAAAGCCTCAAACAAGACTAAACAATTAAAGGTTTGGTCTCTTGGAGAAACGTAATCTACCTGATAGATTCCTGACATCCCCTAAAGGAAAGTGACTGCTCATCACCACTCTGCTTTCAGCCTCCTTGTTTTCCCTGCCATCTTCCTATAAAAAGACTTTCATTTTGTACTGCTACTCAGAATTCCTTTCTACCTGCTAGACTGGACGCTGTGAACTCAGGAATTATTGAATGACGTCCATAAGAACTTCAAAATTTATTCAAGTGGTTTTTTATTTAACAACAATCACTTCAGTGGTGACTGAATGTCTCCATCTCCTGAAATTGTGATTTCATTTTAACCAAAACAAAAACTTAGAAATCTTTATTTTTCAAAACCTTTGCTTCTTATGAGTTCGCTGGAGTAAATCTGCTTAATTTTTATGTTTCATGTAAATGTGAACGCCTATATTTTAGAATCCTTCCCTCCTACATTGCAAGCTCAGGTAACCTATGTTATATGAAAACATAATTTTGTAAGCATTTGAGAGTCCAAGCATAGGAATGGGCAAACCTTTTAATTGAACTATTCCTGGTTAGAACAAACCTTTCTTCTTAGGCGTCGAGCCATAGGCCCTGGCTAGGTTTCTCCTGTTCCTTTTATCACTGGTAGTCTTTGACTCTCCCTGCTGTGTGGCCTCATTTTGCTTTATATCTGGACATAAACAAGCACTATCAACATCACTCTACATCTCTTTCTGGGAAATACAAGTGGCCTTTTCTTTTCAAAAGAAAATTCAGAAGCATGAAAGACTAAACAAAGAGTCAAAAAAAAGGCAAAACTTGCAAGTTGACCATAGACTCGTGGGTTTTCTTTGCAGGCTGGCACTCGTCTTCTACACTCAAGAAGCCCTCCTCCCTTACATCCTGGTAGGCCTTGATGCTTTCATTTTCAGCCAAATTTGTTAAACTATACCAAGTTTTCTAGTACAACCACTTTGGAAAATTGTTTGTAGTTTTCTCAAGCTGCTAAAACTGGAGCCTCCATATGACCCAGCAATCCCACTCCTAGGTATCTACACAAAAGACACAAAAACATTGATTCAAAAAGACATCCACACCCCCGTTTATTGCTACTTTATTTACAATTGGAAAGACATGGAAACAACCCAAATGCCCAAAAGTAGCTGATGGATTAAAAAGATGTGGTACATATACACAATGGAATATTACTCAGCAACCAAAAAAATAAACACATGCCTTTTGCAGCAACATTGAAATAAGCCAGAAAGAAAAGGAAAAATGCCGGGTGGTTTCACTCATAGCAGAGGCATAAAGGACCAGGGGAGAAAATAATAATAATAATGAACAAGAACTATATACCAGGTGGAATGGGGAATTGGATCAAAAACGGTTTGGGAGGGAAGTGCACTGGACTATGGTAATGGCACACGGGTGATTTGATGATGGGAAGCCAACGGGAATTGCAACTAAGATGGAAAAAGGCACAAAAGGATGTAAAGATGAACTATTATTTAAAAAAAAAAAAACTATACCAAGTTTACAAACCTCCTTATCTTTGCAAAGATTCTGGGCCTAATGTGTGTCTGGGCTCCCAGGAACTACTGCACTGGCCTACCGTGTCCACATAATCAGTGCAAAGGTAGAGTTTTTGTTTTTGTTAACTGGAGTAACATTCGGTTCCAACATTGCGTGGGGCTCCGGAACAGGCTCACCTCAGCAACTCTCACCTCACAGCACCCAGCGAACAAAGGTCCAGCCACTACCCACCAACAAGGAATGGGACCCTGTTCTGAGTCCTCCACACTCCCACCTCCCCACGACCCCTCTTGTAACCATCATTTCGTCGAATCCCGGGGTTTGCTTTGTTTCCTGATATCCCGCAAATGAGTGAATTCACACCGTAATAATCTATGTGAATGCGTCCTTGGCCACCTGCGCTGGAGAGAGGCGTGGAAAGCCATTTCTAACGCCAGCGCTCCGTAACCACAATGTTCCACAAGCAGCAGCGGCAGCCAGAGCGCCTCAATTACGCTTTCGGGCTTTGGCAGAAGTTGCCCCTACCAAACATGGGCCTTAGTAAGTTAATTATCCTCTCAGCGCCTCAGCTTTTTCAGCCCTAAAATGAGGAAAGAGCACCTACCTTTTAGGGAGGTGGGGTGTGATGACTAAACAAGCCAATCAATAATACAGGTGTCAAGGAAGAGAAGCCCGTTATAATGATTTACTCCATTTTTATGATCAACCTTGAGCCCAAAACCACGTTCACTTTACGAAGCAGTGCTCCACACGAGGGCAAAGACGCCAAGTAAGTTCCAGCAAAGACCATCCAGAAGCTGCTCGGTGCGCACGCGCACTTGCGACTTGTAGAGCCGCTCGCTCCTCTGGAAGAGGTGGAGGGCTCGCGCAGGCGCGTGAACGAGGCGCTGCCTCTCCCCCCACACACACACCCCGCCCCGAACTACTGCGCAGGCGCGGCAGAGTTGGGGCGGTCAAACCGGCTGTGTGCTTTAGGTCGGCCATGGCTGAGGCATCCCGGTGGCACCAAGGCGGTGAGGGCTGCTCTTAGGGAGTGGGTGTGGCAGGGCCGAATTGGCAAGTCCAGATTCGTTGGAAAGAACTGTCCCCAGGCTACTCATGAGAGAGACTTGACCTCCATGGGTTGAGTCTAAACTACGGAAGTGCAGACGGGAAAACTGAAGCCCAGCTGGGGCATGGCATTCGCCCGTTGCCCGAGTCTCGAGCCGAGTGGTGTCATTTGCTGTACAGTGACCGTTTCTGGAGCCTTTTATTTACTTTAGGGAGTGGAGACCTTGACAGGACCGCAGGCTGAATGCTTTTTCCCCTCTCAACTGAAGCTAGCCATCCCAAGAAGCAGTCTTGATAGATGGAGATAAAGATTAGGGACAGATGAGGGCTGTTGTTTTGTGTTTTTGCTTTTCCATTTTAATATTGAACTGGTGAGTTGTAAAATTCATCAGTTTACACATTAGTCATTGACTCCTTAGTTCATTAGTTGCATATAAAAAAAATAGTTGCCTGTTTTCCTTCATGGGATAATGGTAGTAATTATTCCTTCCTCATGAAAGTGAGAAAAAAGTAACCAGAAACTTTTGGAACTTGTCGGCACACAGTGTGACAGCTATAAGTAACTGTTTTTCCATCATTGTTGCTTATATACAATGTAAATGACATAATAATTTGGGGGGAAATTTGTTTTGTATCTCACAGGGACTCCGAATCTGCATTACAGAAAGGAGCTAGAGATTAGAACCACACCTCAGGAGTTGTTACTCTACTTAATTTTTTTAATAGACCTATGTATATGTAAGTACACAGATCTAGATCAAGATTCTGAACTTAAGTTATGTGGACATGAAAAATAAAGCAGTCTTTGTAATTGATATTCAGACTACTAACCCACTCCAAAAATAGTGTCGTTTTTGACATCTTAAATTCATTTCAAATTCGTCAGGGACAAAACTTAATGTCAAAGATATAATGAGAATTTTGTGGGTTTTTTGCATGGAAGAACTGGGGTATAGGCCAAAGGTTGGGGGAGGAGGGTGCAGTGAGAGGGAGTCACTAGAGAGAACACTGGATGTAGAATAGGCATATCTACCGAAATACATTGCTAAAGGGAACAGCAGGAGAGACAGGAGAGGTCCTCAGGTGGGGGAATTGAACTCTGGTTGTAGTGGTGATAGTGCTGAGACTTTACCCCTATGCTGCCAAAGAGGCCCTGTACTTAAAAGTTTCCATAGTTAATAATAATTAGGTTAATTATTCCTTTCAGTTGGCAGTTTTATCTTGAATGTAATATTTTCTTGACTTGGCAATTCTAACTGGATTTCTTCTACAAGCCAGTAGACACATTTACTTGGTTTCATAAGTTGAACCACAAATGAGGCCAAAGAAGTTGTCCTTTGGGAAAGAAGCTGTTCTTTCTCAAAGCCTATTGTTAACAGTAAATTATGTTATTATTGAGTAACAGCTAGTATGGAGGTCCAGGGAAACTTACACCCTACATTCTTACTATCTCTAAGTCAATAGTATTGACATTATGTGTGAAGGGCATTCTGTCTGTAAAGTACCCAACATAAAGTAGATATAAGTTCACCAGACTGACGTGTCATGGTGGTACAACCCTACATGCTGGCATTTATGTATCAATTAAATAATTAGTGTTCTGTCAGTTGTACAGGTAAGTTTCAGATGGATTTTAACTAAAAAGACAACTATAACCATCCCTGTAAATTCAGGTATCTTAAATGCTTACTACATGTAATTTGGGGAATGGAAAAATAGAGTATTCATAATCCCATTATTTGGGGATAAAAAAAAAACACCTTTTTATAGTTAGGAAGAATTCAAAACAGCTTAAATGTCCATCACAGATAATTTAAGATTTTGTTACATGTGGTGAAATAATAGCAGTATTAAAAGTGGTATAGGGCCTCTCTGGTGGTGGAAAGGGTTAAGTCTCAGCACTATGAAACCATGGCCAGCCACTGGAGCAGGAGTTTGATCCCTGGCCAGGGAGCTGACCCTTAAGGACCAGCAGACCTTTCCTGCCTCACCTGCTACTCCCCTCAGCAGTGTATTTCACCCAATTTCAGTCAATCTGCCTGCTCCACTCCCTACTCTCTCTGGTGAATCCTTTCACCTCCCAGTACCTCTGGTCTACACCCCAGTTCTTGTATGCATAAATTTAAAAAATATTTTTTTAAAAAAGAATGGCATAGGCTCATTTGTGCCCTGGGATGTTGTTGAAGCTAAATGTTTTTAAAAACCTCAGATCTTCTGGAAAAAATTAAAAAATAGAAATGTAATCTATGCCCTGGTGGCAAACCCACCCACCCTATCTGGAAAGAAAAAATAAAGAAGAATAGTAATTGATATATTTTGTAATTCTTACCATATGCCAAAACACATTTTAAATACGTCAAAGGCATTATTTCACTTTCCATGACAAAACGGAGGAATAATGCAATGTTATTTCAATTTAGTTTTTTTGTTTTTTTTTTTAAGTAGGCAGGACTGGAAGAAGCCAGTAACAGAAGACCATATATGGTTCCATTCATTGGAAATACCCAGGACAGGTTAATCTATAGACAGAAGTAGATTACACATTGTCCAAGGTTGGGAGGAGATAGAGGGGAAGAGAGGAAAAAGTGATGATTGTGTATCACATATATGTAAATATACTTAAAACCATTTAATTGTAAATGAGTGAATTATATAGGCTATGAATTATATTTCAGTAAGACTAAAAACAAAAACTGAGATAGGAAATAGTATCCCTACAGTGGGGCAGATTCAAACCTACCTATTTGAATTCAAAGTGCATAGCATTAAATACTCATGTACGCATTATATTCCCTACTCTTACTGTGAAGAAAAAGGTAACTTGCGTGCTAGTATACTGTCTAATTTATGTAAAATTTTCTTTATAAATGTGTATTCATATTAAAAAGTATGAAGAATATGTGCTAAATCTAAATCTAACTGTGGGATCTCATGAAATTTCTTACTTTATATATTTCTATTGCAGTTTTTTTAATTATTAGACAAAATAAGGTTGAGTTTTCAAAACAAAATTTGTAACAAATTATAAATACATTTTTAAACTTGACAACTGAGTTTTAAGCAAATTTTAAAATAAAAATTCCTCTCCTAGTGACTTTTGGGATGGTAAACCCACATATGTATTATTTAAACAAAGTTATGTCATCTCTATTTTTGGATACTTCTGTGCCTGGTGATGAAAGAACCAACTTTAAATCTATTCGCAGTATCACTGATTTTTGGAAGGTAAGGTATTATGTGATTGTGACTGAAGTAGCTTTAAATATTGCACCAACATTGGTCACATATAGTAGATATCTGATGGATTGATGGATGAGTAAAAATGAATATAAATAAACTATTGGAATCAAGTGTTTATCAGTAACTTGCATGCTCAGTGTGATAGTGTTTGTATAACCATAAAAAAATGAGTATTGTTTCTTTTAAAGTATCATTGAATTTAGAAAATGGAAGACTTGTTTCTTAGGTAGATCTTGTTTCTTAGGTAGATCCAAAACTAGTCTATAATTATATATGGTGAAAACTACTATTAATTCCTTAAATTGCCCATAAAGTGTATTATATATAGCTTTGGTATATATATAGCTTTGGTATCCTATACAGTATGTTTCAGTAATGTACAATATATAATGGAACAAACTTGGTCTTTTTTTCATTACCCTTAGCAAAATGCTCACATTATAAAAACATACACGAGTATAGTAAGAGAATAGCAGTTTCAGATATTCCATTTTTACAATCATTGGGGCACACAAGTAAAGGAAGTTTTTCCAAAAGTGATGACGATTCAGTTAAGTTTCAAAAGATGATTAATGGAAGGGCATTCAGAAAGAATAAATAATATGGTATTGTCTGTGTAAGTAATTCAATATATGGCGCTATAACTAGCATTGTAAGTATAAAAAGGCACATAAACATCAATGTAGAAAAGGTCAAATTTAATTGGACAGATAAAATCATGAATGTCATGCTAGGAATTCGAAACTTCAAGGATATAAGATCACTTTCTGAGAGTAAGAGTGGATAAGTGAGATGAGGACTAATGATAAGAACTCATTGGGTTAGAACAGGTGGAATATAAAAGAAAGATGAGAAATTTTTTCTGATATAAGGAATAGAATCCACCCTGCCTTTCCGTGGGGGCTGTCTGATGGTGCTGCCTAAAAGTATGTTCATGGCCACACGCATAGAAAAAGACAGGAAAAAAAAAAATGGACCCTGGGCTTGGGATCTCTGAGGAACAGTTAGGGGCAGCAGAAGTAGCAGTCACCTCTGTGCCCCTCTTGCCAAAACTGCTTTGGGGTAAAGTTATGATTTGTGGCTGTGACTAGCTCTGATAACTCATATATTATGGTACAGTATCCCTCATAGAAGAAGAGGAGAAGGGTTATAAACTTGAGCGAGTTAGTATCTGTGAAGTGCTTAGTAGTAAGTGCTCAGTAAACATTAACTGCCTTCATTGTGAACATTGTTATCATTACCATTGTTTTAAGTGGTGGCTTGGCCAACAATTTAATTTTCATATTTCCCCTCAAAAATCTTAAGGATAACACTTTTCCCATAACATTTATCTTTCTAATTGAAGTTTATGGAAGGACCCCTTTTGGAAGGCCTGTACTGGGACTCATGGTACAATAGCCAGAAAGTGTATGATGTAAAGAACAGCAGTCGCATCTACTACGAGAACATACTTTTAGGATACCCTAGAGTTCGTCAATTAAAAGTTCGCAACGACACATGCAAGGTTCATTCATCCTTTCAGTCTTTGATGCGTGAATGTTATGACAAATACACGAGTGGAAATGAAGACCTAACTGATTTTGGCCTTCAACATGATAGCGAGTAAGTACTTCCTAGTAACTTAACCATTGTATCTTTTATAAGCAAAAATGTATTTTCCAAATAATACCACCAAGAGTCAGACAAGAAAGGAAGCTTTCATTAATAACATCAAATGAAGACTCAAAACACTAGCTGTACTTAGAAAAGGAAGACTTTTCTAAGTCTTTTCTAAGAATAAGATCTTATTCTTTTTGTTTAACCAAAGAATGAAGATTATTTTTTTTGACTGGTATATAAAATGCTAAGACATAGACATAGGACAGAGTGTCCATTTTTTGCTTTTACAGTGTTCACTTAATTGGCATTTCGAGTCTGGCCAGTCTCACTAAAACTCACCCAAATGTCTTAGGTGTGCCCTGCTGCTTTCCTCCTTTCTCTAGGCTTGCCTGACTTCAAGATGATCTTCTATTGTCAGTACTCTGTAGCAGCAGTTACCCACTACAGGCACTGAATCTAAGGCCTGAAAAAGATATTGTGGTCATTGTTCTCGAACACACCAAGACTAATTCTGGTGTAGACTCAGTGGCTACACTTTATATTAAAAATAAGCCCCCTTAGGGGGAAGTGCACTGGACTATGGTGACGGCACACCAGTGATTTGGTGATGGGAAGCCCATGAGGATTACAACTGAGATGGAAAAAGGCACAAAATTATGTAAAAATAAACTATTATGTTATTTTAAATAAATACATAAGCCCCTTTAACATCAAAACTATGGTTATCATTTCTTTTAGGGTCCTAAAAGAAAATCATTAGGGGCAGAGAATTAACCTTTTACAAACTATCACAGTAAAGAGAATACAAGGATCCACGCTTTCCTGTTTACACTCCCACTCTGCAGAAGCAGCCACTTTCAGCAATTTTGGTTCTTGCTCTTGGTATATACTTATTTCTAAATAACATTAATATTGCTATTACTGATTTTACAGTTTCAAATACCTGTTGTCTCTCTCATGGAAAGTGTCTGTCATGTATCCCTTAAAACACTCCCATCTATCCACACATTTCCTTTTCCCATAGCCTCTCAATATAATCATAGCATAATTTTTTGTTAATCACTCAATGTTTATGTTATAAATATAAGTGACAATTACATTTCCTTTCTTGATCTCTCTCCTTGTACCCCACTAATAATTTCTTTGTGGTTTTATTGACTTGTTTCTGCTTTGTGTGCAACTGTGGATATTCTTGAGGGCAACAAAATGTTTAGTTCTTATAAATCTTTACTATTCATATTTCCCTTTCAACAACAACAAAAAAACCCTTATAATCTAATTTTTAATTACACATTTTAAGTTGAAGTGGCAAGACTGGTCTATTACTATTCATGTAACAACTACAAACAACTTAAATACAATTAACACTGAATTTCTGATTGTAATTCCTGTCCTTCTGTAATAATCTAAGTAAATCAATTTGTGTTCTTTTGTCTATATAAAATGCAACATTAAAAAAATGGAATAAAAAAAATGGAATCAGATCCTTCCTGGTGGCACAATGGGTTAAAGAGCAGCACTATGAAGCAATACACAGCCACTGCAACACAAGTTCAATCCCCAGCCAGGGAGGTGACCCACATGGCACAATAGACCTGTCCTGTCTCACTCACTGCTCCCTTCAGCAGTGTATTTCAGTAGATCTGCCGTTTATGTTCCCCACTCTGTCTCTAGTGAATCCTCTCATCCCCTGCACCTCTGGCCTGTACCCCAGTTCTTGTGTGCACGAATAAATACATTTTTTTAAAAATGGAATCTAGGAGAGGGTTGGTATAATAAATTTTCTTATTTCTGTTTAAAATAAATTTTTAAAAGATTATCTGTGAATTGAAAATACAAAACAACAGAAATTTCATTAAATGTAAGTATTAATAGTAATTATTCAAGTCTGTATGGGGGAAAGTGAACAGAAACTGAAATGGCCTAGGTCTTTTTATTTATCTCTAATTAGAAGTTTTAGTTATGAACATTTTCTTAGGTCTTTTTCTTTCATTAAAATAAGATTCCTATATAGTAATATAGGTATAACAAAGTCTATTAAATAGGATATTCAATTTATAAATGGTAGGTGATCTTCAGTAGCCAGATTATAAAACACCTTTTATTCCCATACTGAGGCAGATATATGTGAGTCAGGACTCTTCATAGTCATGTCCTACTCAAAACTTAAGATCTCTTTTTTTAAAAAAGATTATGCATACACAAAGGGGTACCGGCCATAGGTGCAGGGGTGCTGAGAGGATTCACCAGAGACAGAGTGGGGAGCAGAACAGGCAGATAGATGAAGTACACTGTTGAGGGGAGCAGTGGGTAAGACAGGAGAGGTCTGTTGGGCCATGTGGGTCATCATCTCAGGAGCGGGGAATCGAACTTGCACTCAAGTGACTGCGGCCAGCTTGCAGTGCTATGTCCTAAACCATTGTGCCACCAGGGAGGGCCCAAGATTTAAGACCTCTTTTTTTTTTTTTTAAGATTTATTTATTTATTCATATAGAACTGGGGTACAGGCCAGAGATGCCGAGGGTGAGAGGATTCACCAGAGACAGAGTGGGGAGCAGAACAGGAGATCCACGAAGTACACTGCTGAGGGGAGCAGCGAGCGGGTCAGGAGAGGTCTGCCTCTCCATGTGGACTCCTTCGGGGCAGGCAGGAATCGAACTCATGCGGCAGTGGCTTAAGCTTCGTAGTGCAGTGCTTTAATCCGCTGCGCCACCAGGGAGGGCCCGATTTAAGATCTCTTAACACAACATTATAAAAAAAAAATGATCATTTTATATATTTTAAGTGCCCCCAAGGCAACAGGTGGCATAAAATTGTCTTTTTCATAGCGTTTAGTCCAGTATGTGGCCCCAAACACTGCAAAAGGAAAGCATATCAAGTCCTTGTCCTTTTAACTTCAATCTTCAGTCATCATCTTACTTGAAGATTACTATAACACTTACAAATTTAGTATTACTTCTAAATTATTGCTTTTGAAAACTGTAGTATCCTTAGGCCACTTCTCAGTCAGGTTTTCTCATTTCTCCATTATTCTGTTTATACCTAACAGATGGAAGTATTCTTCTCCTGCTATCAGCGCCCCTTGGCACTGGGGATTTGTTGGCGTTTATAAAAATGGGGGATATATTTTCACTTTATCAAGATCAAAAGCTGAAACCAGAAACAAGTTCATTAATCTTCGACTGAACAGCTGGATCACAAGAGGAACTAGAGTTGTTTTTATTGATTTTTCTTTATACAATGCTAACGTAAATCTGTTTTGTATTATAAGGTGAGTGACTCAAAATCTTTTTATTAGTATATCCAATTTAAAAGGCATCCAGGGCCTTCAGTAGGGTTTCCACTTTGTGTGCTTGTTAGTACTGAGATTAAAAGCATAAGCTTCAAAATCAATATGGTTCAGCCAATAATGAAAAAGAAGGTAAAATAACATCATATTCATTGTTTCATTATTTCAGAATAGATTTAAGAATATAGAGAATTACACACACTATATTTGTTTTAAGTTACTTAGGATATTGTCATTCTTCGGTTGTACAGAGCTAACATTTACTTTTGATTCTTTCAGAATGGCTTCATTATTAAGTTATTTATTTTTGTTTCAAGATGGAACAGTTCAAATTCCCTAGAAATAATGAGAGCCTATGGTGATTTGCAATTATGGCCCCTGTTCTTCACCTCTTTACCATGCAACTTTTCAGTCCCCTGTCACCCAGGGAGGGTGCACTCCAAAGCCCTTGATGCTCAACCTGCGACTTGTTTTGATTAATGGAGTGTTAGCAGATATAATGCAAGCAGAAGTAAGTTTATACATTAAAACTTGCTCTCTTGCTCCACCACCACTGCATAAAAAACCTGACTAAGACAATTTGCACCTAGTTAGGAGGAAGATGAGTGGCATCGTGTCATGAGATGGAAGAAGAGGAAAAGTAAACCAGAGAAAAAGTTCTGTTAGTCTGATACCTCAGGTTATCTGCCTAAATGGGACCATGCAAAATGCTTTAGACTTAGGTCCCAGAATCAAACACTGCCAGAGGCACACTGGGTCTTCCTGGAGACTAAATCAGCTTCCTCCAAGTGATCTGATAGTGGGTGAATGTCTGATGCCATCAGGGTTCTGTTAGAAAAAAGAAATGGGATCATGACAATTAGCTAGGCAAACAGTAACGACCACTCAAATGGCAGTGACCTACTTTTCTCTATGAAACTTACACTTTATTCTGAATAGAATATGGAATTGGTGTTTACTCTTGAGTAGGAAGGGATTTTTGTCCATGTGACAAAAAAACACAACCATGAACTTTAAAATGTATAAAAATGAGTAAAAGTGGACACTGTACTTCTTATAGTTTTCTTTTCTTTCAGAGAATCAGAGCTTTTCACCAACATTATTCACCCTTCCCAACAGTTTTGATCAAGATAAAGTGAAGAAAACAAATCATTTCTATGTCCTATCTAAGAGTATAAACATTGGGGGTAACTGGCTTAAAGTCATATAAAGAACTCCTTGTAATACTAGACTAAGTCCAATTTTCCTGTCTCTAGGTTTTTGCTATTTCTGTTACTTCTTAAAATGTAACTTCAAAAAAATTAAGGTGATTTGGAAACTACTAACTAGCAGTATAGTGAGTATTTGTATGGAAGAAAACTTGTTTTTCAAATTACGTTCCTTTTTGTACACGTATCTGGCAAACTAACTGAATGCTGTTTTTTCCCTTTATACTGTTAGTCTATACTTGTTTCTTTCACTTCATTCATTTATCCGACATTGTGCGCCTATTTTGTCTTACTTGAAACAGACAGTTCTGAATTCTGTTTATTAACTAGTTGTTTGGGTTTTGTTTGCAGCACTTTATTCCACTGCCAATAAAATTTGTTAATAGCGTTAGTTAGGAACAAATACATTGTGACATGCTCTGGTAGAGATACCAATTCAAAAATTACTACCAATTCTTAATTATAGTTGGTCTTAGTTATCTGGATCCTGACAGTAGAAATGTAGTAAGCAACTAAAAATCTTTCTGTTTAGTGTTAGAATGAATAAATCATTGTACCCAACAGGCAGTACCTAAATTAAACAGAGAACATTTACTTTCGTAGAATATGTGATCTTGACATTTAGAAGTAAAACTATAAGCTTAAAGAACAGATTTAACTCCCCTGTAATAATCAAAAATTATGTTTGTATGGATGCCTGACTAATAAAGGTAATTAACAGCATAGTACTTTCTTGAACATCATTTCATTCTCCTATGGAGACAAATTATTATTCACAGTGATGAATGAGCAATCTGGATACAGAATAGAGCAAGTGACTGGCTAAAAACACATCTAACTTTCTTATTGACATTGGTCGTTGACCACTGTGAATATTTGGAGTACCAAAAAAATGGAGTCATTAAAAAGTAAGTCCTTTAGAAAATTTTTAATTAAATCCATGACCCCCTAAAAGAAAACATATTTTGTGAAAAATAACTGATTATCATTAAAGTACATAACATCACTTATTAGAAATTTCACATTGAGTTAGATACTGAAATAAAATGCCTGAAATGTTCTTTTCACAAACCTAATTTTACAGATTGGTGGCAGAATTCCCGGCAACTGGTGGAATCCTTACTTCATGGCAGTTTTACTCTGTGAAGCTCCTCAGATATGTTAGCTTCTATGATTATTTCATTGCTTCCTGTGAAATCACATTTTGTATTTTTCTTATTGTTTTCACAACACAAGAAGTCAAAAAAATAAGAGAATTTAAGTCTGCCTATTTCAAAAGTATTTGGAACTGGTTAGAACTGCTACTTTTGGGGGTAAGTATATACTCCCATGTATGGTTGAAGGGAATCACATCTGAACTCAACATAAAGGAGGTGTACAACAGCAGAGTTTTCCATTCATCTGGGATTTACTTTAAAAGCTACACATATCAATCATAAAGTGGAACTGTGATGGTACATACTGGTGTGCCTCCAAAAGCATCTGTTTTAGGGTTTTATTTAGTTTTTGGTTCTTGAGAGCACCAGCATAAACCTAGAGCAGGTGGCTCTACAGGCTTTATGACGTATTATGCCCAGTTGCCTAAAACTGCTTCCTCCTCATACTGAATTTTGAAATAGTCAAAAGGCAAGCCTAGGCAGAATGCTGAAGAGGGCTTGAGAATCTTGATGGTAGCTTAAGAGGACCCAGATTAGGGAAACAGTCCCTGGAAGAAACATCCGAAACTGCCAGTTCTTGGTCACTGAAACATACTAAAAATACAGAGTCGTAGGAAGGACAATGGTAAGAGCTTGGTCTTAGGTAAAATGAATAATTTCTGGTTTACACAATCTGGTCTTTCACCCACACTAGCCCCTAGATACAGCCAATCCAGCATATCCACCTGGTTTTCCAAAACCAGACTGAAAGTGTCTCAGAGTCAGAAAGCATACTATCTACTCAGGTACACCCAGTAATACAGAGGTAGGGCATAGCATTAAATACTTAACTGAGTATTTCAGGCAAAAGAAATCAAAGACAAGTTTTCATGACTGTTGTAAAGCTCTAATACTTAAGGTGACCTTGTTCTGAAATCCTCTTCTAAAAGACTGTCAAAGGCCTCTAAAGGGGATTGTTTTGTGGGAACTGTAAAATTCTTTTCTGGTATTACATAGTGGAAAAGATTAAACTTTAGGTATCATGTAGTTAGATGGAGCAGAAGCTCTTGCAGCCTCTTCAGAATTATAATCACTTCATCTGTTTGTATGTTATGGCTCAAAGAAGCTAGCAGGCAGATAGATATGCAGGTGATAATCACTTTTCTTTCTTCTGCAACATTAAACATTTGTAAGTTGAGATTTCTATTTATGTAAAAGCATGTATCTTTCCCTTGCTTTTTCTTAAATATCTGATAAACTTTTTAATGTATTTCTGTATAGGCTGCAGAAGGTTTAGAGTAGAGTTTCTAATTTAATCCTTCTTCTTTTCCCATTTAGTTGTGTTTTGTGGCCATTTTCTTCAATGCGTACTGTAATATACAAACGTTTCTCTTACTTGGACAGTTATTAAAAAGTTCTGAAAAATATTCAGATTTCTATTTTCTTGCATACTGGCAAGTTTATTACAACAATATAATTGCTGTTACCATCTTCTTTGCATGGATAAAGGTATTTATATTAAATACAACAGATTAAATATACTATTTCATTATATGAGATGAAAGGTAATGAGAACCTAAACTCTAAAGTCATGAAAAACAAAAGAATTTTCTTAATTATAAGGTAAAATAAAAGTATTTGGCTCAACATATGCCTTCTCTTGTTGGTAAGAAAACAGATGAATTAAATAAACTTTTCAGAATATAAGACTAATTAGTGGTTAGCAGATGGGAAGAAGGGAGTAGGGTCACTGGGGCAAAGGGGACAAACACAAAGGATAGAACTGACTGGAAACAATGTCCTATTGCTGTGTAACAAAAAGAAAGGAAAAAGAATATATCTTACTTTTAAAAAGTAGTTTGGCCTTGTAATGTTGCTGGCAAGTACTTAAATATCCCTGTCACTAAGCACCTCCTTTAATTTGAATCAGATTTTTTCAGTAATTTACTCTATAGAACTATAATCTGTGATATCATCCTATTTCAATTTACTTTGTTCTTTTTCAGATATTCAAATTCATAAATTTTAATAAGACAATGTCTCAGCTGTCATCCACCTTGTCCCGCTGTATCAAAGACATAATAGGATTTGCCATCATGTTTTTTATTATATTCTTTGCTTATGCTCAATTAGGATATCTTGTTTTTGGATCACAGGTTGATGACTTTTCTACTTTCCAAAATTCCATGTAAGCTCTTAGTATAAATGTAATGATAATTTCTGGTCTGTAACAATAACAAAAAAATGATGGAAAGGTTTGTGAAAAGCATAACAAGGCTTTAACAAATTTAAACTTAGGTTAATATCTTCACTAACAGCTAAATAGCTCTCACACTCAAAGTATGGTTTAGCATGGAAAGATCCAAATAGTGAAGTCCATTTTTAACTTTTACTAGGTCAAGTTAGGAAAATTTGTTTGTTTGTTTTACTGGAAGTAAAAATTTTACCTACCAGAAATAGGTCATTTGCTATTTAACTTTTTTAACCCTGTTTTCTTTATTTGTGAACAAAGAACCCAGACTATTCACCCACAAATATCCTTTCCAACTTCAAACAGCCTAATTAGCTTACACTAAATAAATAATGTTTGTAGATTCAACAATTTCTTGGTCCTTTGTTAGGATCTTAACTCATGTGGTATTTATAGCTTAGTCGTATTAGCACAGAGTATAAATGTAGTAACTTACATCCCTGGGAAATTTGTCTTACCTTTAATAGTTGGGAAGAAAGTATGTCCACAATAAACAGAGAACTTTGGAATGGGTCAGCTTTTGCTAGTTAGGTGATAGGTTATTCAACCTTCTCTTCAGGAAAATTTTAAAAAGCTGCATGAAATACAGAAAACACCACAGAACTAACAAAATAAGTGAGTTATAAAGAGACCAAAATCAGAAGGAGAAAACTCAGAGAAGTCAGTCCCATACTCAAAGATGCTTTTACCCTGAAGTGTTTTTTTAACTGATATTTTTTGGAATAAAATATACATAACTTAAAATTTACCATCTTTATATATAGTTCATTGTAAAGTAATTCACATGGTACAACCACCCTTTTCCAGAACTCTTTTCATCTTGCAAAACTAAAACTCTATACCCACTAAATAATTGACCATTCTCTACCTTTCCCCAAATCTTGAATGGCAACACCGTTCTACTTTCTATAGTTTTGATTACTAGGTACCTAAATGCAGTTAGTTGTACCATATCTTTTTGTGACTGCTTTAACAGGTCTTTGAGATTCACATGTCAGAATGTCTCCACTCTTTAAGACTGAATATTCCATTGTATGTATATACCACATTTTGTATATCTGTCATCTGTCAGGGAACACTTGAGTGAATAATGCTGTTACAGATACTGTAATCTTTTGAAGACTCTGCTTTCGATTCTTTTTTGGTGTATACCCAGAGATAGAATTGCTGGACCACATGGTAATTCTATTTTGAGGGCTTTTTGGATGTGGATACTGTTTTCTATAGCAGCATTATCATTTCACATTCCCACTAACCGTGAACACAAGTTCTAACTTTTCCACATCTTCACCAGTAATTGTTATTTTTTGGACTTCTTTTTTAAGGAATTTGCATCATCCCAGTGATTAATGATGACTGAGCATCTTTCATGTGTTTGCATTTGTTGGTCCACTTGACAGTCACTACAGGTCCCTTAGGCTCTGTTCACTTTTCTTCGGTCTTTATTCTTTCTGTGCTGACGTCTTGGTATTTTCAATTGTCTTGACTCACATTTGCCAAATTTCTCTTTTGCCTAATCAAATCTACCTTTAAATCCTTCTAGTGAAATTTTCAGTTGTACTTTTCAGCTCTAGAATTTGCTTTTGGTTTCTTTTTAAGTTTTACATTTGGTATTGCCATTTTACTCTTGCATAATATTGATAAATCTGAAAATCAGACTTTCTCTCCCAAGGGTTTATTGTTTTTTCAGTTTTGTATTTTATTGTTGTCGAGTGTCTGTGCTAAGGATCAGCTTGAAGTGTGAACTTCTCAGGTCTTTTCTCAGTCAATGGCTTTCCTTGGGCACAGTGACCTTTGATTTCCTCTATATATGCAGTTGCATTTGAATATCCTAGTCTTTCAATTCTGGCTCCCAAAATAAAAAAAAAAAAAAGGAAAATAAAGAGGAAGGAAAGGGCACTTTGCTTCAGCAATCAGAACCCTGTCCCTGATGTAGGGAGAACAGGGTCAGAAGTGCCCTGTATCTGGGTTTATTGACCGAGGTAGTTTCATTTTGGATTAAGCTGGTGTCAGGCTAGAATGCTTGCTTATACCCCCAGAGGTGAACAAAAAAACGCTCTGGAAAAAGTTATCTAAGATTACTTCTACAGGTAATTTTTAAATTTTAAAACATTCAATTTAAAATCCTTATATGTAAAATATCTAAGTTACTGCTACAAGTAATTTTTTAAACATAATTGAAGGTTATTTGAACATAATCTGGTATACAAGGGGAGGAAGAAAATATATGCAAGAACCAGATACAATAGAAACACAAATTTCAGATACCAGAATAATTAAATAATTGAGCAATATTTATGATGTATAGAGAAAATTTAAGATATCTTCAGAAAGCAGGGAGTATAAAATGTGATTTATTTGGAAAAGGGATCAAATAGAATTCTAGAGCTGAAAACTAGGGTTGTCATTAAAATCCAATCAACAGATTTGACAACAAATAATACAGATAAAGAATAAAGTGAAAAGTAGGTAAAAATAATTTTAAAATGTGATAGACAAAATGTTGAAAGATGGTGAGACAAAGGATCAACTGAGAAGAGACTTTTAAGATTTATAGATGACAAAATTGAATAGAGGCAGTATTTGGAGAATTCTTGGGAATAGTGATAACCTAGTCACACCTCCAAGTAAGAGAATGGAAAGTCCTATTAACACAGATTATGGAAAAGTCTTATTAGCTATTTTAACTCAATAAGAGAAAACCTTAGAAAATTAGCAGTGGTATCAGAAAGTCACAAAGCAGTAGTTTCTTTCAATGTAGCACTATATACTAAAGAATCATATGTTCCTTTCAGATCAAAAGAAAATTAAGCTTCAGTCAAGAGGAAAATGACAATAATTTTAGCAGTAATTTTTTTTAAAATTCTTAGTATTATTTTCACTTTCCTGACAGAAATGGACAAAATGGAAGCTTTAGTTATTGAGCTAATTTCTGAAGAGATTAGAGCCTTTAACTTATGATTCTTTATATAAGACAAATCAAGTTAAAAGATCTAGTTAATACAATAACAGAGCCCTTTATTGCTCTCTGCCAGAGGAAAAAAGATGTTTGGCTTGTTGAGACCTTAATATTTTTCTAGTTCAGCATATCTTTGGTTGGCAAGCAAACTTATAGTAAGAAATATTAAGAACTGGATAAATATTATAAAGTATGACTTTATCAGGTCTTGGTTATTGGTGAAATTCCAATTACCTCGAATACTCCAAGTAGCCTCTTTCTTTGAATACATTTCCTTCCTTCATTGTGGACAGCCCTATATTCCTTCATGTGACTGGTGAAATTAACAAGGAAAAAAGTAGTATTCTCCCTTTTGACTGACCAACCTATCATGCAAACTACCTACATACTATTGAAATTCCTTTCCAGATCTCCCCTTATAGATTTAGTACACATAATTTATATGTCCCTGGCATGTCTCACAATGCCACTGGAAATTAATGGTAATGAATTCAAGTTAAGAAATATGAATTCTACCTCCACAACCACTATAAACTTATTCAAAGCCTTAATTTCCTAATTTTTCATTTTTAAAATGAATAAAGGTTTATAATGTCATTTTACATCAAAACCAAGTTTTTATAGTCATTGAGAGAATGAAGTAAACTTCAAGACCATGCTCCTAGATACATTAGTAACCCCCAGAAAATTTTACATATGTGTGAAGGGTTGTAATGACATTTTTCTTTCTTTCCATCAAAGATTTGCACAATTTCGAATTGTTCTTGGAGATTTCAATTTTGCTGGTATTCAGCAAGTCAGTCGTATCTTGGGACCTATTTACTTCGTCACTTTCATCTTTTTTGTGTTCTTTGTCCTGCTGGTAAGAATCAACACTTGCTCCTTTTTTTTTGCTTAATCTTTTACAAAAATAAAATTAACTTAGAAGAAATTAAGTATCGCAGCTTAGCTGTCAAAACTTATTAAGACTGATGTGAATTCCTAGCAATCAGGTACGCTAATCCAGGGTCCACGTTTTCCTATTGTGCAGTGGAGACTGTGACCTCGCTAGTTGCCGTCTAGGTTTTAACTGTGTCAAGGATGTGCTGATTCTCTTGAATATCCAGGTCTCTCCAGCCCAAGACATCCCATACAAGTAGGCATGGGTTTGGCCATTAATACTCTGCCCATATGGTTTTTGGCTCTTACACCTGAAAACTCACAAAGGGTGGGTCTCTCACAGGTGCTCAGGACAAATCTACTTGGCCTCCAGAACCTTGCCTTCTTCATCAATGCACTACTACTCTTCTCTAGGGAAATACTTCTTTGTTCAATAGCAGTTCTCTCCTAGTGGGGCAGCATCCCCAGGGTGACAGAGCTGAGCAGAGTGAAGGTGGACAAGTAGGCTGGGAGGTCAGGGGTAATGAGAATCCTGTCTACACGACTTTGTTTTCTGGATGTTAGTAGTCATTAGTCTCAGTAAGAGTGTGTACTTATGTAGATTTATTTAAAATCATTTTTCTAAACATATAATTACATTATTCTTTTGTGATAACTGACAATTAATGACTCATAAGGGACTCGTTTATATGCAGTATTTTATGTTCTGCTTTTCTCATTTACCATAAATGTATTTTCATATTCACCCACCACAAATCCCCATTGTATATTGTAGGCTGCAGAGCAATTTTTATATTGATACATTAAATTTTAAAAATCAAAACATTTGTCAGTCACTAACATTTAAACTAAAATTTTATTTAAATATTTCTCCTCAGAACATGTTCTTGGCTATAATTAATAACACCTATTCTGAAGTGAAAGCTGATTATTCATTAGGCAGAGGGCCAGACTTTGAACTTGGTAAAATGATTAAAAAGGTATGTCAAATATTTTCCCTAATTAGCTTTTTTCAGCTTATACTCTTGTAGTTTGAGTAACATTTAAATCTATGTGTAGAGAGCTTCTGGTTCAGTGTTACTCATATTTGTAATTGTCACTACAATTTGACATTTGCTCTTATTATGTCCAAAATTATTTCAGATTTCAATATATCCAACAGTAACTAAGCTATTCACTAAATGCAAAGCACTGTTGAAATTACAATAAAGCTCTTTCAAATTAGATACTGGGAAATTTCTCTAATCTAAGCTGAGAATTCCATGTCTTCCTCTTTTCCTGTTTCTATTGAGGGCAATTCTTTTTAAAAAGATTTTATTTATTAATTTATACAGAGCTGGGGTACAGGCCAGAAGTTAAGGGGTCAGTGAGAAGATTCAGAGACAGAGTGCAGACTAATGAAGTACACTACTGAGGGGAGCAGTGGGTGAGACAGGAGGGGTCTGCTGCACCATGTGGGTTACCTTCCAGGCAGGCCGGGGAATCTAACTTGTGATGAAGCAGCTGCACCCAGGTTTAGAGTGCTGCACTTTAATCTATTGCACCACCAGGGAGAACCCCAAAGCAATACCCTTTTCTCAGTTACCTGACTCAAAACCTTGGATTTTTTTCCCCCCCAATCTCCTTACTCTGATGCCAATACGTGTAAGGTTCAATTGCTCATAATTGTGGAAGTGAAGTATATTTTGAATTCTACCACCACTAGATTAGGGCCCCCAGTACCTTTCACCCAGACTTCTGTGGCCTCATCTACGTGCCAATCCAGCTCTTATCTGATCACTTCTCTACTAGAAATTTTTCAGCCTCTTTTTCCCTTTCCTCCTTCCCTTGACATTCTATCCTTGCTGAGGAAGAGTGGGCTCTTCCTCGTCCTCTGGACACCTACTCACTTTGATTTATAGCAGTAACGCACACGCCAGCATCCTCCCAGCTCTAACCACCGCACTTCATATAAGAAAGGTCCTAATAGCTGTGGGCTTTCGTAAGGTTTACTCTGTCCAAGAACTTACCTATAAAGAAAACTATTAAGCTGTTCCTCAATTTGTTTTCCTTATCACTTATATCTTTTCATTTCCCTGGATGTGTTAAACTGTTAACATCCTTAATGCTTTCACAAGATTTTTTTCAAGTTCATGTGTGATGCTTCCAAGAGTGCCATTTTCAACAGCAGGCCAGAAACCTTGAGTGATGATGAAGTGAAAGAATAATCGTAACATTTGCCTCCAGATTGCTTTAGAGTAGTAGTCCCTAGAGATTAAGCATATTTCCATTACCTTGATCAAAAGCTAACACAATTGGATATATTTTTGATTAACTTCTATCTTTCATTATGTCCAGAGTTACTACAATGTTCTTGAAAAACTCAAACTAAAGACACCTGAAAAGGAGGAAGATAAAAGGTAACATGAACTTTCTTCAAATTTTTACTTATCATTTTAAAGCTTCCTAAGAAACTTAAAGGGAGTGAGATTTTGATGGAAAAGCCACCACCATCCAAGGTGTGGATTCAAAACACTCTGTCACTATACCCACCATGTCTCCTAGTTTCTAAGAATGTCATGAAACTCTAAAGCTTATTTATAATGAATACAGTGGCATGCCAGGCAACTCAGAAAGAGAAGCCCCAACAGGAATAAAGTCCCTCTAAAAATATAGGAATGTTTTAGCCTACATTTTATTTGTTAGACATTTTTATAGGGCCCTCCCTGGTGTCGCAAGGGGTTGAGGTGCAGCACTATGAAGCTGTCTGCAGCACATGTTCAACCCCGGCCAGGGAGCTGACCCACCTGGCACAGCAGACCTCTCCTGTCTTACCCGCTGCTCCCCTCAGCAGTGTATTTCAGCAGATCTGCCTGTTCTGTTCCCCACTCTGTCTCTGGAGAATCCTCTCACCCCCCGCACTTCTGGCTTGTACCCCAGTTCCTGTATGCATAAATAAGTGTTTTTTAAAGATATTTTTATAATTATTTAAGGGTATACTTACATTTTTATCACTTTACTGCCAAATGCAGACAATGGCAATAAGATATATTAATACTTCTTCACAGCTAGAAATATGTGACACTTGGGTGAACTTATTAATGACATTTCCAAATAGCTAATGAGTAAGAACAGAAATGCCCCTCAGATAGATCCTTACTATACAATCTGAATGTATTTTATGTTTGCAGTTCTCTACTTTGTCATGTCTCTAATTTTTACTTTATATTTCTAGTATGAAAACTGGGGATTTGGCTGAAAAAGCTAGAAGAGAAGGCTTTGATGAAAAGGTAAGATTTTAATTTTCTCAAATAATAATTTTATTTGAAATGTGCTTTAAAGACATTGTAAGAATTAAAATGATTTGCATTTTTTGGTAGTAGTAACTTATCACCTCCAAATATTTCTCCCAGGATCTAGATCCTGGGACAAATATTTAGACAAAACATTTGCATTTTGTATGTTCCATCTTGTATTGTTGCTCTCAGCACAGAAATTTAGTTTTACAGGTACACTCACTGAGAATTATCACACATGGTTCAGTGAGTATACGCTATTCAGATAATTATATAATTAATCTTTTTTTATATTTCAAAATTTGTTTTTTTGAAAGATTTCTTTATTTAAGCATACAAGATCTGGGATACGGGCCATAGGTGTGGGATGTGAGAAGATTCACCAGAGATTGGGAAGTAGAACAGGCAGATCTACTGAAACACACTGCTGAGGGGAGCAGTGGGTGGGTCAGCATTCTGGCCGGGGATAGAATTCATGCTGCTGTGGCTGTAGATAGCTTCACAGTGTTGTGCTTTAATCCACTGCGCTACCAGGAACAAATGAATTATTTTAAAAGTTATAAAGCAAACCCCCACATACTGTAATATCATAATTAAAAAGAAAAAGACAACAGAATAATGTTCTACCTCCTCTGGTTGTTCCTCATCCTCCAATAAGCTGAGGGCACAGGATCAGGTGACTGGGATAAGCAAGCAAGCAAGCACATATATTGGAATGAGGTTTCCCTTTAGCAGCTAAGGGAGTTACAAAAATGTAAAGTTTGAAGATTAAAATGACCCTTGTGGTGTTAAGATTAAAACTGTAGATGTCCATTTCTCTGTGTGTGTGTATGCATCTTCTAGTTTTGTTCACAAAAAAAAGGATAACAGCAATCACTCTAGTAACAATGACAAGTAGTGCTCCTATTTTGTTTTCCAAATACTGTTTTCTTCTGGAAACAATCAGGGCTCTCTAGAAATATGGCTAATTCCATGGCTAGAAAGTACAAAGGTAAGTCTAGAAAATCTGAGTCAGAAAGTGATCAAAGAGACCTGTTAAAAGGACACAGAATCAGCTTCTTAAAAGGGATCCACTGACCAAATCCGGGCATATTTAAGTACTGCAGTGAATAATGATTTATAACTCACTGACTAAAACAGGATTCCATGAGCCTATACTGATCTAAACATAGAAATAAATTGAAATCTAAAGAAAGGCACATTTCTACAAAATACATGTTACATAAAATACTTATTACAGGAGTAACATTAGGGTAGAGAAGGCAAGCAGCTATCACTCTAATCAATATTGAAAAGTGTTGAAATCACATGCCACTTTGTAGAATGCGAGGTGAACACAGAATCCTGTGACACTGATGAAACATCACACAAAACTGAGGTAATCTGCAAAATAACTGGCCTGCATTCTTCAAAACTGTCAAAGCTATGAAAGTCAAGGTAAAGCTAAGGAACTCTGCCAGACAGGATACAATTAAATGACAATAAAATGTACAGTGTTGGACTGGATTCTTTTATGGTAAAGGGCATCATCAAACAGCTGGTATACTTGAATAAGGAACATAATTGATATAATAATGTAGTGATATAAATTTTCTTATTCTTATTGTGTATGATAACCATAAAGGAAAACACCTTTGTATGCAATAAATATACACTGAAGAATTCAGGGACAAGGGCCTCCCTGGTGGCCTAGGGCTAATTCTCAGCACTATCCCTGCTGGAGCCCCCAAGTTCAATCCCAAGCCAGGGAGCTGACTCCTTGTTGCATCAGACTTCTCCTGTCTCACCAAAACTCCCCTAAGCAGTGTTTTCCAGTGGATCCACTGTTCTGCTCCCCACTCTGTCTCTGGTGAATCCTCTCACCCATCCCACACCTCTGGCCTACAGGTCAGTTCTTCTATACAAAAGTAAATTTAAAAAATATGTATTGTACAGTTAATTTTAATTAAAACTTTTACTTTCATCCAAAAAAAAGGGGGGGGGGATTCAAAGGGACATTGATGTTGGCAACTTCAAATACTTTTAGAGGAACAAAAGCATGTGTATTATTCTTGAAATTTTTCCATAAATTTGAGATTATTTAAAGCTATAAGCTACAATAAAGCTATAAGCTATTTTTGAATTAAAAAAACAGTACACATTTAAAGATATGCTATGTATCTGGAAAAAACTACCTAGAATGAACACAAGACATACAAATATAATTTGGGTTTAAGTAAAAGGAAAAGACAATCAGGCTAACAGACCAACATTCAACATTGCAAATCAATAGAAGACTACATAGAGTTTATTTCAGGAGAGAAAAATGTAAGCCATGAATTTCTCAAGAATAAAGGTTTAGACAATTTTGAATACTGCTGTATTATTGAAGATTCTATAAGCAGGTAAGCTTCAGCAAGCCAAGGGATGGCTAGAGAAATGTGGTGGGGGGGGGGGGGGAGGAAGAGAAGGTACAATGTAAAGGCTTCAGTAACTGGCTCATATATATAAAATAGTGAAAAGTTAAAGAACATTATTTTGAATTAATAACCCAAAAGCAGCTTTCACATATTTAATATTCAGTTGTTGGAAAACAAAGATAGATATTATTGTACTGTTAGAACCCATTTTTCCCACATTTTAGTATCTCTGAAATCAAGCTCTGCCTTTTGATTCGGTGTTTCATTGGCAGCATGTTCCCCTCTAAATGGTACATAAAATAATGGGGAGTCCTACAATAAAATACATCTCTCAGACACCATAAAATATGGTAATGATGATATATAATTGGTAGTAAAGGAAAGGCAATGAGGAAAAAGAAATTACAAGCTATTTTTCTTGATAAATTAGTTTGGGTCTTGGTTGAGGGAACCAAGCCAAGAGAGGGCAGATTGTGGGTACACAGAGATACCTGAATAAAGACAAACCACTAAAACATACATACATACAACATGCTAAAGGACAGAAATGCTGTATCAATGAGAACAGGAAATATACCATACAGTAGAGACAAACATTACGCGATGACTCTAGCACGATAGCTGTGCTATATCAATAAAGGCAAGTAAGCTTAATTTACTTGAAAAGAACATATTTTCATATTGAATATCACACAGCAACATCTAATCCTACACTATATACTAAAATATATACCTAAAACAAAGTACTTCAAAAAGTTAAATATAAAAGCATGGACACAATTATGAATATGCCAGCAAAAGCTATGGGGGCATAACTAAAGTAGAAATTCTAGGCAAAAACTGGAGATTAAAGGAGCTACATAAAGATCAGCTCAACTTTAATAGCTGATCACTATGCACCAAATATGGCATCAACATCCACAAAAATAAAACTACTAGATTTATAAAATGAGAATACTAAATCAGAGAACAGAAAATTAAGGGTAAAGAAAACCAAACAATATTGAATTAGGCACTATTACAGTTAGATGTAGTCTCAAAAGATACACCTGCTTTTCATAAACCCATTCATGAAAACTGATCATAGAGTAGGCCACAAAGAATATCTCAAATTCAAAACTATAGGTAACATGAAAAATTCTGTGAAAAGAACATAAAAATATATTTACTAAAATAGACAATAAGGATCTTTTAATCAAGAAATTTTAACTGGTCTCAATTCTTGAATCAAAAAGGAAAACAAAATAATACACTATAGTAGAATCCAAAGATTTAAGTCAAAGAAAACTCAGTAGAAAATTAATAACCTCAATTTTATCAAAAATCGAAGACTCAAAAGAATTTTTTTTTTTAAGATTTATTTATGCACACAGTACTGGGGTGCAGGCCAGAGGTGCAGGGGTGGTGAGAGGATTCACCAGAGACAGAGTGGGGAGCAGAACAGGTAGACTGAGCAAGTACACTGCTGAGGGGAGCAGCCGGCACGTCAGGAGGTATCTGTCAGGCCATGAGGATCACCTTTGGGGCAGAGGATCAAACTCAGACTGAAGTGGCTGCAGCTCGCTTGCAGTGCTGGGCTTTAACCTGCTGCACCACCAAGGAGGGTCCTGAAAAGAATTTTAGCATATGACTCAAAAAATTAAAACATAGAAATGATAAAAAGCAGAGTGAGGGCCCTCCCTGGTGGCGCAGCGAGTTAAAGCACAGCACTAAGAAGCCAAAGCCACTTCAGCATGAGTTCAAACCCCGCCCCAGAGGTGACCACATGGCACAGCAGACCTCTCCTGGCCCGCCTGCTGCTCAGCAGTGTACTTCGTCAGTGGCCTGTTCCGCTTCCCACTCTGTCTCTGGTGAATCCTCTCACCACCCCTGCACCTCTGGCCTGTACCCCAGTTCTGTATGCATAAGTAAATAAATTTAAAAAAAAAAAAAGCAGAATGAATTAGAAACAAAAAAGTAGTATAAATAAAAGGGTTACTTCTGGCCCTCCCTGGTGGCGCAGCGGGTTAGAGCACAGCACTGAGAAGCTAAAGCCACTTCCACATGAGTTCGATCCCCGCCTGCCCCGGAGGTGACCACATGGCGTGGCAGACCTCTCCTGGCCTGCCTGCTGCTCCCCTCAGCAGTGTACTTCGTAGATCTGCCTGTTCTGCTCCCCACTCTGTCTCTGGTGAATCCTCTCACCCTCCGCATCCCTGGCCTGTGCCCCAGTTCTGTATGAATAAATAAAATTTTTAAAAAAAAAAAAAAAAAGGGTTACTTCTATCAGTGAAAAGAAACCACAAGCCAGTAAATAAACATACAGAGATTACAATGGAGGAAATAATTGAGAAACAGAAGAAATTAAAAATTATCATTGAAGGTAAGGGCATAAAGGGAGCTATTCCACATTCAAACTATCAGAATCCATTACACTATCTCATTATTACTCATTATTAAAATGTCCATATAATCCAAAGTTATCTACAGATTCAGTTCAACCCCCTTCAGATTTCCAGTGACCCTTCCTTGTAGCCCTCTAGTAGTTCAGAATTTTCTGTAGCAAATCCCCTTCCTGAGTTATCTCATGAGGTTTCTTTTTGGCACGAAAGATTGTGCCCTGGATAAATAGTTGATTGCAAATGGTGAGATCCTTCAAAGAAGTCTCATAAATAGCATGCTTGAATTAAGGATGGAAAGTCATCTTCTCCTACACTTCAGATATGTTGAAGATAGACACTGATATAATACTTTCTCAGACCAGATCAGGACATACATCAGGAAAACAGAGTTTGAACTTAAGCACCACCATCTCTTCCGAGGAAGGAATTCAGAACATTTATAGACATACATATTGTTACCTACTGTCATTGCCGGAGCAGGGTATTTTCATACTAATTGTGAAGTCTTTGAATCACATCTTCCTCTAAGATTGTCCATATTTTCCATAATGTACAGGGTGCTTTTTCTGAAATTGGGAAAAAGGTATTTGGGTGGCAGTCGATGAAAATCAAGGAGGATTTAAGATCAGAGAAGGGTGCAGCAATAAAAATGGTTTTGAATGAGCTTATTTTGGGGTATGTAGCCAGATGAACATATAGACGTAGTAATTATGAAGAGGCAAATGGAAATGGTTAGGTAAGAGTAGAAGTCTCCATAAACAGCAGCTGTGAGGGTAAAGAATACTCACAGATGTACTCTTAAGTACATTGCCTTCATTCAAGTAATGTCAATACAGAAAAAATTGTAAAGGTAAAAAGCAGGCAGCTACTCAGTTGAAATACAGAGTGAAAAGAATCAGTGAAACAAGAACTCACTGTTTCTACTTACAACAATAATAAAATGATCAACACCCTAATTCTGCTAAACAGTTTTAACACCACGCCCTGGAGTAGCTTTGCTAATACGAAGACCTAAAAACCAGGCAATGCAAAAAGACTACTGTTCTCAAAACCATAACCCTGAAGAGAATAGTTGAAGATTCTCAACTCTGTAATGCTTGTGTGCCAAAGTCCTTAAGTAGAGAAAAACTCCTAAAAATTGTAGCCTATATTTTCCTCTAAAATTGACAGGAGATTCAAAGTGCGGAGCAGATGAAAAAATGGAAAGAGAGGCTTGAGAAAAAGTATTATTCTACAGAAATTCAAGATGACTACCAGCCTGTCACTCAACAAGAGTTTCGAGAGTAAGTATGTGTTCTAACCAGGGAACTATAAGGTACATCAGACAGGGGTTAGGGACACTGGTTACACACATTAACCACCTTATTCTGAACCCACCACCTTATTCTGTTGAGATGCTACTTTTTTCACTTTTCACCCAACTTTAAAATTAAACAGAAAGCACAAGATTCTATTTAAAGAAAACAATTGGTTTTACTTGTACAGCTCTAAATAATGGGAACTACCTGCTTACCAAGTACTGTTATCCACACAGCTTTAGACTACTAGATCCACCACTAGCCATATTAGCAATTTTAGGAGTTTAAAATTCTTTGTTCCCACTCACATGAAAGTATGTTACTGACTCATTCTTTGCTTCCTCCTGAATAATCCTCTAGACTCTTTTTATATGCTGTGGAGCTGGAGAAAGAATTACACTATGTCAGTTTGAAACTAAACCGAGTGATGAGAAAGGTTTCAGCTCTACAGTAAGACAAGTGGAGGTGAGACTTTGTGATGCATGGAGCATTTCTAACAAAGATTTATTCCTTGGGACAAGTTTAGGAAGACTTTAAAAGCACTAAAACGCATTATTAGCAAGCTATCATAGGGGATGACAATCATCTAATGATTTCTGAAAATCCAGTGCCCTTGAATGTACAATCACACTGCAATAAGCCTCCAGAGTATACCCACATTGATACACAAGAAGGATTTATAATTTATAATGAGATTTATTATTAAGCTCTAGGAATATGAAGGGACAAGAATAAAATGGGCCTCTAATCAGCAGTCCAAAATCTAGGTAGAAAAAGTTTTCTCGGTGAGATAGAGTATAAGAACTGTTGTTCTTATTTGTAGCATGTTCTGGCTTACTGCCCATGTTAGTAAATGCTTAGGATTCTTGAAAAACCAGTATATAAAACCCCAAAATTTCACCTCTATGCATCTGAATTTGAAGTTTTCTGAAAATAAACTTTCCAACCACCAATGAAAATCTCACTAGTATCTTCAAACTGAAAATTCATCTAGACAATTTCTAAAGTGGCACTCTTAAGGAATGCTTCTCCTCAACTATTTTAAATGCAAATATACTGAAAAATTATATAAAGGCAAGGCAGGATTATCAGATTATAAATCATGTTTGGCAAGTGTAGGGAGCTGCAAATGTCCTGCCTGGGTGGCTGGTAAGGTGTGCATAGCTAACATTTCCAATTTCAGATATTGGAAGAAAATGATACTAATCTTTCTAGGTTACATAATCCCTCATCGAAGAGCAATGTGTAATCTTAATCCAAGTAACAGAACTTGACCACAAACTCAAATTTCACACTGGTGTTCAATAATTGTCCCTAGATTTAAAAATCTGAATAAAGGAATTTAAAATTTTACCTACCTTCCTCAGGCCAACCTCTAAAAGACTATCAAAATTTCTTCACAGGATAAGAAGAAATGCTTACTAGTCTCCTCATCTTCCCCTGAGATTTCTACAAGGGAATCAACAACATGGCCTTTCCTTATCTTACACTCCCCAGACCTGTAGGCAGCCAAGTGCTGTTTTCTTCACATGGTCCTGGCTGGGATAATTCAAAGACTAAAGATCATTAAGACAAAGGAACACTGAGGTCTCCGGTTTTCTCTTTAACATTTAGCAGGAAAATAAATAAACATTTACCGTGACTTAGAACATTAAAGTTCTTTTATTACAAAAGTCTATACAATGAAGTGCCAAACACAGCAATGCAATTACACGTGGTCATGTATATCTATATATTTCTTGTATATAGATACACAGCTTTTACTTGTACCAGAGTAAAACTATCACAAACTGCCTAATTCTACCAACTACTGCTCAACTATGACACACAACACCGTCACATAGCATAAGTGCTGCCATGCCACTTTTATCTAGTCTACTCGCAGCCAGACATTAACTGTGAATAACCAACATCATGAAGCAGCTGTTAATTCTAAAATGATTCCAGGCAGGCCACTGACTTATAAAAATATGGTACTCATATAGATTTAGCATTATAAAGAAGGAATATATTATTTAAAACATTTAAATAGTGCATATGGACATTTTTGCAGGTGGTATATAAAATAAAACATTCATATAAAACAATATACAGTGCACATTAAATCAGATGTTTTGGATATACTTCTGTCTGGAGACTTAAATCAAATGTACACTGCATGATAGATTCAAATGAAAGTGACGTATCGTTTGGCATTTTCAATTTAATTTTTCTAGGTATACATTATGAACAACCTAGTTGTATCAAAAGGAAACCACACGAAAGGGATGGATTTAGTGCTTTTTTTTTTATTTCCCCAACTACAAGTTCACTACCAGTGAATATTCCCTCCCCCCAAAACGGCATTGCACACACAGATGAAATGTAAAGTACTAGACATACTACTTATTATCAAACTACTTCATGTGCTTACTAGGTATGTAATAGTGCCAAAAGTCTGAGGTACATGCTTCCCTCACCTTACTAAAGGATGTTGCAATAGTCCATTTTGTATGGAACAAACTGTTAATATCAGCTAGTAAGAAAATCATGCATGACATTGCATGCAAATCATGGACACAAAGTGAGACATCAATTCAAAAAGCACCAGGAACAAAAATTAACACTTAAAAAGATTAAGCCTGACTGGAGTATGTTGTTAATGACTGTTACACATTACTATAAATAGACACTGGTCTGTGAAAATGATTAGCAGAATAATACCACTGCCTGAAGAAAAGCCATGCAAAGCCAAAGGAAAAATGATAAGCTTAGAGTATATGACAGTGGGCACACCACTACACATTCTGCAGTCAGTCAGCCTTTTTAAACATGTGACTATTCAAAAAGATGGTCTCTTAGAGGATGTTTCTTCATGGATTTTGGTGATTTAAGAGAGAAAAAAATGATGTCACCCCCTGAAGGTGCAAGTAAACATGCAGTGGTAGAGCCCTTGTTAGGAATAGATTTACTTCAGGCATAATGATTCTTTTGCCAATGTTAGCCCATCTGATTGAACATACAAATCTGAGCACCATCAGAGTTCCTACATACTGACATGGCTATATTGTCACATTATCTGGAGATGGGGAGGGAGGAAAAAAAATGCAGGATCTGATTCAGACAAATCACATCACCACCAGCTGATAAACAGTAACTGAGGAAATAAACAGTAACTTAAGTCCCATAGGCAGCATGTGATATGATTCAGTTCTGTGTGTAATGTATGGTGTGTGTTTTCCCTATACTGATAAACAAGGTCACTTCTTGGTCTATGCACTGTTATCTTCATCCAGGAGCTATGTGACCACTGAATTGCAAAATTTTGCTAACAAATAACCTATGAGAAAGTGTCACTTTAGGAATTAAAAACAGAAAGGTATTCCACAGTCAGACTTGAAATATTTCAGTTGATTTTGGTTTTTTAGGAAAACACAGAACACAGTTGCATATGTGCACATTTATAGGCTTTTCTTTCAAATTTCAGTCATTCTGTACGAAAAAGGCAACTGAAGAATTCAGTGTGAAGATTTTTCCTCTCAATTTTCTTCAGTGATGAAAAAAATAAAGTTGGTATTAACAAAAAGCTTGTATTTCCAAAGTTCTTGAAGTTGAAAGGATAAAATACTAGTCTTTTGCTATTAGGATGTTATCTGTAGTAAAAACAATGACGAAAACTGCATGTTTGCTAAAGGTGGAGAGACAGTCTGTGGTTAATATGGAACATCATGCTTCCTAGGGAGGGTCTACTTACCCTCCTGTCATTTTCTCTAGTGGCACCACAACCAAGTACAAAATGAGACTCTGAGAGCCTGACAAAATGAACTCAAGTACCAGCCAAGTACACACGATGATAGCTTCAGGGAATACAATTGATTTTATGATGTTTTATATGGATTTTGAAGAATCTTGTTTGCTGATAAGAACTTCAAGAAGCCTAAGCTTGGCTTTAATTTTTTTGTATTCCCTGTACTCCTCAAGCACTGGAACACGATCCTCTTTCTGGGCATTCCTAGAGAAGAAAATAAAATCTATAATGTTCTAGAGATTATCTGGAAAAATAAAGTCCCACAAGCTGTTCTAATATGATTACCAAATATAAGTTCAAATAAAAAGTTGCTTTGTAATTAAAAAAAATCACTTCTATTTTTTATGGATTTTGCTAGTGATAGATTTATGACGCTAACTTATCAATAATCATTATAGATAACCAGAGGTAATCAAATATTTTAATAAGATATAAGACTCTGCCAGATCTCTGAATATATATTAAGTGCTAGAAAATTACACTAATACATTTCAAGTATTTATGTTAACTATGGCTCTGGTGAACTGAAATGTCAAAATATCTTACCTATAACAAAAGAAACTTTCTCACTTTATAGAACCCAATGCAGTCCCATTTAATTACTTATGAGTGCATTAAATCATCCTAAGAATAATTATGTTTTGTTTTGTTTTTTCAGTAAGACAAAGAAATAGTAGGTACTTAAAAAATGCATTCCTGCACTTGGGATTTCTTTAACCACATATTCCTATGTAAAAGACTTTTAAATTAATTTAAACATATTTTGAACAACATCGTTATTAGCTTAGTAAAATCACCCATTTATTTTGAAACACTCTTCTGAGGCATGAAATGATGTACCCTCCTGGAATGTATTACTCTTTGAAGACTCCACAGATTCAACTGTGCATTACCCAGTAAGATAAAGGCACTTGCGCCATATTGTATTATAGGAACCATGCAACCGCCACTCTTATTTATACATCTTGGAAACTGGAAATCAGGAATGACCCAACATTTATGGTAAACAGCAGTAAACTGCAATGGTCTCTGTTTAAGAGTCCAAACTAGTTGAGGATTCCACTCCTATTAGGGGATTCTTTCTAAAAGGAAAAATATCTCATTTCACAAACACTTCCAAAGGATACAGATATGTAATTAAACAACATAAAATAATCGTCACTCAACTGAGCCTCCCTGAAAGAACCTTGAAATGTTTTATCTGCTATTGTTTACTCCTGTGCTGACATTTTCTTACCCTGATAGCAGGGCTTCAGAATATTTTTTTCACTGTTTTAAACCTCATGTGCATAATTTATTTCTATTCCTTTATTGAACATGACACTTGTGAGTTTAAAGTGAAAGCAGATTCAATTTTGTGATGCTCAACAAACCTTCCATTTTGTTGATAAAATGCCTCTTCAAATTCCCTTAATGTTTTACGTAATTTCTTTTTTTCAGCTCTGGCTTTCCAAAGTTGTTCCAGTAATTCAGGCCTAAAATTGAAAAGAGGAGAAAACATTACTAAAAGAGTACTACTGGCTCATTACATTCTTAACAGTGGCCCTAACCCTGGCTACAAACCAAAGTCAGCTAGAGGAGCTTTTAAACTACACTAATGTGTAAACTCCAAGTTAGAATATCTGTAAGTAGGGCTCTGAATCAGTGCTTATAAAGAATTCTTTCTAGGTGATCCAAAAGTAGTGAGGGCTAAGAACCACAGATATAGACCACATAGACCTAACCTAATTAAAGAGAAACTAAAAGATTAACTCAGTAGGTTCCTGCACTTTTTTATGCAGAAAATGTAGAATTTTAGTATTTTTAATTTTGAAACACTCTATGACTGACAACTTTTTTGGTGAATCACACTGTTTAAAAAGAGTGTATCTCGGGCCCTCCCTGATGGCGCAGCGGGTTAAAGCGCTGCACTAAGAAGCTTAAGACACTTCCCCATAAGTTCAATTCCCGCCTGCCCCGAGGAGATCCACATGGCGAGGCAGACTTCTCCTGACCCGCCCACTGCTCCCCTCAGCAGTGTACTTCGTCGATCTGCCTGTTCTGCTCCCTACTCTGTCCCTGGTGAATCCTCTCACCCTCCGCATCTCTGGCCTGTACCCCAGTTCTGTATGAATAAATAAATAAATCTTAAAAAAAAAAAAAAAAGAGTGGATCTCCTGAGCACTGTTAATCCCTCCAGGTGCTCAATTATTTAATATATTTCTTAGCATATAAATTTTATTATACAAATAGGCTAAAATCACAACCCAGCATACTTACATAGAAGCTGCTCGAGTACTTGACAATCGCAGATCCAAAGCCAGTTTTTCTTGATTTTCTTCAACATCAAATTCTGAGTTTTCCAATGAAGACTGTGCCTGTACAGCAGTTTTTAAGATATCACTTAACTCAGAGGATAGATTAACACCATCTTCTTCTTCTTCCTAGGCGCAGAAAAAAAAAATCCAAACTGGTCATGATTTCCAGCTTGTCCATTAGGAAACAGACCAAAAATAATTCCCTTAAGAATTACCTTGATTTCTTCAAAAAAATGTGCAGTTTCTCCTTCTATAATTGGCTGTAACATCTGACCCCTTCGTTTGGTAGAGGGAGACCCCTGTAACAATCAATACTCAAATAAATAGTTTACAGTTTAAGCATTTAAAGTGTTCAATGATATCCTACTTCACCTTGAAACAGACATTAAATTCTATTTTCAAAGTCCTAACTATATGCTTTTAAGAAAGTATTGTTTACACATTAACTGCAAGCATTTCTCTTTCTCTCTCTCTTTTTTTTTTTGGTGAATTTTTTTAAATTTATCTGGATATTCATTTAAAAAAAACAACAAATGCATACTGGCAAGCATTTCTCTTTTTAACAATAGCTTCATCTGTTGACTTTTTTGGTCTGAAGATCCTTTTATACCTCTTTAAAAATAATGGGTTCAATGAGGTATAATTCAAATAATATGAAATGCACTCTTAAAATGTGTACACCATAGTGGTTTTTAATATAGTCACAAGTTGTGCAACTACTATCACTATCTTATAGTGACAGAACATTTTATTATCCCAAAAAGAAACTACTCCTGAGCTGTTATTTCTTTGCCCTTCTCCCCTATCCTACCTCACAGTCCTTAGCAAACACTAACATATTTCCTGTCTCTATGGGCTGATCTGTTCTAGGTATTTTATGTAAATGTAATCATACACTATGTAGCCTTTTGTGTTTGGATTCTATCACTCACTCAGCATATATATTTTCAAGGTTCGTCCAAATTATAGCATACATCAATACTTCATTTCTTTTT